GGCCCCTCCTGCCCCGCCGGCGGGGCGCGGGGGCGGTGGGAGCAGCGGAGCGGGGCCGGGCCCGTTCCCGCAGCTCCCCTGTGGCGCCGGGGTTGGTGAGGCCTCAGGAGGGACAGGAGGCCCCGGACACGCGCAGTGCGGCCCCGGGGCTTTTTGTTGCCACAACAGCAGGGAGGGAGTGCGGATAGAAGCAGATCCTGCCGGGCCCCTCCACAGTGCAAAGCACAGGGGCCCAGTGAGACTTGAAGGACAAGGAGGCCCAAGTGTGTCAGCTCAGAAGAGCACAGCTCCCTTACTGAACAGCACACCTTTGCCTGCAGGTTTGTGGTGCTAACGTTATGCATAAGAAGCATCAAACGCTGCACTGCTGGTACTGCTGGTACTGCTTCCTTCAGATCTTGGTTCCCTGAAGATGTCTCATCCCAATGCAGTCCCAAGCCACAAAAGCAGGACTCGGATCTTCACAAATGTGATTAATTTCACTCCTGTGAGTCGTCCCGCTGGGATACTTCACCATAGCACAGATAAATGTGTGTAATTGCAGAATTGAGGCCTTAGGCTGTGAGAAGTGAAGAAATTGCAGCTTGAAGTGATGTATCTGCAGCTTCTTTGTGGGAGGTTTTGTGTTAATAATTAATTCAATGTGTCAAGCAAATAAAACTTTACATATTTAAAGATTAGGAGGTCCCTGATAAAAAGTTGGCAAGAAACAAGATTCCATGACTGCTACAATGGGATTCAGTTCTTCCAAATCTAATAGGTAGGATAACATAGGAAGATAATGAAATACTTTGTTGAGCACATCAAGATTCCATGAGAATTGCAGTTCATGTATGTCAAAATGCAGAGCAGACAAAGAGCCTCATCTGGCCAGACATCCCTACCTGGTGCTCTTATTTGAGTGTTTCACAGTTTGTGGAACCTGTCCCAGGCACACTCCATGATTTCTTCATTTAGAGTTGTTTTTTGGAAGAGGAAAGAGGTAATCAGCAGACAATCTGCTGTCCTGTGTGAGCTGGCACGTGGCATTCTCCAGCTCTCCTTGGATGGGGCTCCACAGCCCAGGAGACAAGGAGCAGGTGGTTGGACTGGAAGTGGGACACGAGTGATCAGAGACCCCACATGAAGAGACAGGTGTTTGTTGTCAGCAGCCCCAGCTCTGGCATTCTGCTCAATTTGTTGTTTAAGTCACTGAATAAAACAATTATCTAGCCTTCTCTCCCTGATCTTGTTAATCTTTCTAACAGAAGAGCTTCAACAGAGTTCTGATTTGTCCTGCCTGTAGCACTGGAGTATTCCTCTGGAAAGGAAGAGCTGTGGGTTCAAAGTTCCTCAGGCAAGATACAAACTCAGGCCTCTGACTGCTGTGAAAGTGTAGAAAAATAGGATGGTGCCTCCTCCTGCTGAGTGTTGAACACACTGGCGTTGACCCAGGTAGCCCAGAGGACTTGGGGCACTCTCCTGCAGCCCCTGTGTCCCTCTGCCCATGCTGGTGGTGATTTATGGGTCCTTCCCAGGGCACTCAGCACATTCAGAAGATGTTCACAAAACTGTTGCAGTAGTCACTGTGCTTGGATCCAGCCTTTGGGCCGCACGAACGCCCTGTAGCTGAAGTGGTGAGTGACTCAGGAGGTTTGTTTTTCTGTCATAAAAGCTTTTGGGATAAATCCAGTCCAAAGCTAGGAATCCTAAGAGGAATTGTGTGCTATTGTATGCGTGTGGATTGTTTTGCTGAACATGAGTCTTCTTCACAGGTAGCCTCTAGAAATCCCTTCATATTTAAAGGAGAATGGTGTAAGAGGCAAAGGGAAAAGGAACTAAAGATTAAAAAAAATAGACATAAGAATAAAAAAAGAAAATCCATTAAGCCCCTCTGCTGCTCTGCCTTTGCTGTGCACTCAAAGGACAGAAGCTGTCATTTTTTGAAAGAATATACCTTGGATTGTGTGTGTGTGTGTGTGTAGATGGGAGAGGAGAATGCTTTTTGAGTAGATGACTATAGAAACTTAAAATAATTAGGTACTAGTATTGAAGATAAATGGCCTTCAGGAGTTGGGTTTGGGTTTTTTCTGCTTAGCATTGTTACTGTGCCTTGAGTTTGTCTCAGACTGCAGCTACCATCAGAGAACAAAACACATGCAGAACTTTTTAGTCTCTGATAATGACTGTAATTAGCATCACAAGCTATGGAAATTGCAATATTCCCTAAAGGTTTCTTGTCATCATCCCATGTTTCTGCACCAAAACCAAAGATTTTTAAGACAAGGTATCTTCTGTATGTGGTGCTGTCCCACTAATGTAACGTCCCAGCCTCCGTGGCTGGCAGAAGCCATTCCTAATGCCTGTGTCAGAGTCGTATGTCGGAGCTGGTCTGTGTGAAAGCTGAATCCTGCCAGAAAGTAAACATGCTGCTCTTGAACAGTGCACGCTGTTCAGCTTCCAAACTGGAGCTTTTCTCTTTATGGTCTGGTCAGAGCCCATAGCGTGGGATTCTCCGAGCTAGTGAAAATGTTAGCACAAGAAAGTGAGTTTTCAAAATCCCAGTATGTGAATGTTTTAATCAGGAATTCAGTGATGTCATAAAATAAATTATTTTTGCCCTTACCCGTGTGCCCGGGCTGGGTCAAGCCTCAGTATAAAGGCAGTATTATGGTGTGATGGTGCTGAGTGATTTATGGGAGACCTTGCTGTGGAGGCCTGAGCACTGAAGGTGGGCAGAGCTCACCTACCCCAGCCTCCACCTGCAGCACGGGGTAATCAGTCCTCAACCCCTGGAACTGAAAAGATCTTGTGTTTCTGTCCTTGTTTTTCAGCTGGGGTCATTAACTGCCGTGTCTGATTCATTTCTGAGCTGAATAATGTTGACAGCTGCCAATTTGGTACACATACCATAGGCTGAGCTGGGGAGCCATGAAGCTGGAAGGGGTAGAGAGCTCCAGCAGAGGCTCTACCTGGCACCCCTGCAGCTCAGGCTGGAAAGGGAACCTAAACACAGATTCATCAGAGAACTAGTTGGTCCAAGTAGGGTGATCCCCAGAGTCTGAATCCCACATTCCTTTTTATCCCATGCAAACCTTTGCTTACAAATTAGTGAACCCATCCGTGTTCTTGTCAAAGCTCTGAGTTGATCTTCAAACTGCTCAGTCTCAGTGTCAGATTATTAATAACACTGTTACCATCACAATTCTTTCTATTCTGATCATTTTCAATTTATTGGGGTGTGAAGAGAAGATCATGGGTTCAGGGTTTTGTCTAGAATTCTGCCACAGAAGTACAATCTCCAGTAAATGTAAATATTCATATTT